TGAGAAAAACAAATTTAATAAGATGTTATATATATATATATTATTCAGTAGATACCTATATTAAAGTATTGTCTAATAAAACATTGATCACTGAATAAAATTGTAGTAAGTTTTTTTTTATAAATTAGTTTATTATTAGTTGAGTATTATTGAGTTAAAATAAATTAGAATAATATATTTTATTAGAAAAATATATATAATTATAGGTATTTTTTTGAAAAAAAAACATAGGAAAACTATTCAATATCAACTCAATGAATTAATATTAAATTATTATTTTTTTTTTAAAAAAAAAAGTCATTATTGTATCTAATAATAATAGTAATATTCCAAATGGGTATTAATATATGTGAAAATTGTATATTTTAGTGTACGTTTGAATAATAGAATAAAGATAATAGAACCTAATTCCCATTAGTTTACACTTACCAATTTTGTTATTGTTATGTATATTGTGTAGTGTACGGAGGGAAAGGTTTATTTAGTAATCGCTTATGGTACAAAGCTTAACATTCAAAAACTGAAACCATTCTCTTTGTAATACAATATCCAGAATAATAAGAAAGGTAATAAAAGAACCTATTTAAAATATTTCAATATTTTTGATAATTAAAAAAAAAAAAAAAAAAAAAAGAGTTAAAAGAAATATATAATATATACCTAGTGATAAAAACAATACAACCACCATAAAATAATTAATGTTTATATATAATTAAAACATAATTACATAATATATATATATAGATATATAATAGGTATAAATTCTAAGTTAAACATGCCTATTATTTGAATAGTAAAAATGTATTTTTTAAAGATTCATATAATGCATTTGTTCCTGCAAATATTCCATTGCAAAAACAGGGCAATCATGTGTTAAAATCATTTTTGGAAAAATATATTGGCAAATCAATTTTGGACGAAAGCACTTTAAGAAAAAATTACATACCAAATATTTATAAAAGTATTATGGACCAAATAATTAGTGATATTGGAAATAATTACGATAACATAATTGATCAAACAACCGATTCAAGAAGTTTATATAAACATTTTTTTAAATTTCTCATATAATAAAATATACTTTTTTTTTAGGTTTGACAAATTTGCAAATTTATTAATTGGTAAATTAGATGGGATTCCGAGTAAACCATTACTTTATTTGCATGTAAAGAAATAAAATTCACCAATTATGAAACTATTTGTCAATTAATTAACTCCTCGTTAAAATATTTCCTGGTATTGAACAAAAAGTATTACTTTTTATTAATGATCCTGGTACTTATATGATCATAGTAGCAAAAACATTAAAAATATTTTCCCGAAATTAATTCATATTATAAATGTATGGCACACACAGTTTTTAGAGTTCTAGAGAAAATTCGGGAATTGTATCCAGACATTAATAAATTGATTAACAATGGTAATATATTAAGTACCTATTTAAAATGTAAATACATATGTAACTTATTTCGTTTATTTCAGGAAAAAAAGCTTTCCTAAAAGCACCAATGAGAATAAATACAGAAAAGAAATGCCAGGTACACCTTTACTACCCAAACCTATTAGTAGATCGCAAACCTGAACCAGAGCCAGAACCTCTAAATAAAATAATTAAGTACCAGTAAAAACCAGAAGGTACCAGTCTCTGCTTAGAGGTCAAAATAAATAAGTTGAATGTAATGTAGTTTTAAATTCTGAGGGGAGCAATGAATACATTGGTTTGACAATGTTTTTTTTTCTTTGTAGAAAACTTTTCTACTGACAATTTTGCTTTAACTTACAATGATAGCTCTTTTTTTGAAAGAAAATCGGATCGGGAAAGGTACTTTAAAGAGGTATTTTTTAATTTTTCCAATTTTCCCAATAAATGGCAGAATAGGAAAGTAGGTATAATATTAAACAAATATTATTAAAGAAAATGTTTATTGCATTTGTAATTATTTTACCATAAATGATATTTAAATTATTGAAAAAGCAATATTATTAACTGAATTTCTGTCAAAATTGTTTTTCTTTAGTAATTTGTTATCATCGTGTATAGATATATATTAAATTTTTAAATATATCCTTCCTTCCCAACTTCCCAACTTTCTGCATATAACCTGTGGCTGCAACCATCCCCATTATCCATCCTATTTTTTTTTTTTATAAATTTTACTATCAAAATGTTGAGGCAAAAGGAAATATAATCTTTCAAAACATATCCAACTGAACTCAGCTTCTAATTGTTAGTAATGGTTTATCTTGCAGGCATAAATTAAATAACTTTGTGTATCCTATCTTCTAAACTTCCTATCTACAAGGATGGCACACCTGTCCTGAGTATTTAAAATTAAATCAAACATTCTTTCTATTAAAATTAAAATCAAACAATTCTTAAAATTTAATCTGACTTTTTGATTTAAACTGAATAAATTATCCACTGTCATCAAAACAAAATAGTACATACAAATAAACCTATAACATTGATAAATCATTGTATAATCAATCAGCTATATAATATTATATAAACTAAAAAATATAATTCAAAAAGTAAAATTAAAACCAAATAATATGTATAAATTGTTTATGGAACATTTTGTGGTTTTTTTAGTTGCTTCAATGTTAGTTTGGACTTTGGTTATGATATCTTCTTGATTTTTTATAACAACATTTATCTTTGCTGCAATGTCTTTTTGCAGACTTTTTATATATTTCTCCACTTATACTATCACCAGATCTATGTTTGCAAGTATGTAATCTGTTACTATTACCATTGTGATTCATATCTTCGCTGAATATTTTAAATTCTTTTACAGTTGAATGATTACTTATGCCATCATTTGGATAATTTAAATCTTCTGGATTATGCATTTTATACAAATTACTGTCTTGCTTGGCCCTGCTTGTTGGTATTTCAGTATTTGATATTGACTCTGAAGTCATAATATCATCTTTATTATTAACACTTTCTTTTGAGATAATTTCTTTGTTTTCAAAATTAATAGTAGTTTGTTCAGAAGTTTTATATTTTAAAAGTTCATTCTGTAAAAAGTATATTGTACTTTGCATACTTTCGACATCATCATCCAAGTCTTGTAAAAATTGATCCAATTCTGGATAAAATATTAATATATATATAATAATAATAAAATACAGTATTTAAAACAAGCTTTACCTGATTGTGATTTTTTAACTTCTAATCCAAAGGTTTTCTGTAGTGCTAGTTCACCTTCAAGCTTAGCAATTCGACCACTATTGACTATTTCACCGAGTTCTTCATTCTCTTGATACAGTAAATGGCATTTGGCCATCAGTCTTTTTCCAGTATTGCTGCCAATGTTTATAATTTAATTAAAATTAATTTTAAGAATTTAAATTACACACAAACTCACCTGTCTGGTGTAAATTTCCAGGTATTTAGTTCAGTTTGAGTTTCTTCTAATTTAGCTTTAGTAACATTTAATTCTTGTCGAAGTTTTTGAATCAAAATATTTACTGCTGGATCTTGCAATGTACATTTTAACGAAGACAGTGATTCATTTTTAAAAGAGTTTTGCATTACTAACAATTGTTCCTAAAAATAATAATCTCAAATTTTTCACTTGTTTTTTTAAATAGAACATTCAAATATTATTATACTAGTTATATGTTCAGTAAACATGTAAGGTTATAGTGGATTTTATATTTTATTTTCACAATAAATCAACAAAGCGGTACAAACAAAGTATAGTTTTTATATTTAAGATACAAATATACATTTGTAGGTGTCTTTGAACCAACAAATAAAATAATAGTATTCTGAAGTTGGGTTCAATTACTGTTCACTGTCTTTTATAAGAAGAACGAAATTATATTGAATTGAAGTTATTACTGATTCCACCTTAGATTTTTGATGAATCTCTCAATTTTCATAACTTAATTTAGCTATTAATAGTTCACTAAACCAAATGATCAATTTAAGAGGGTACACTCATTATTTTGAAAAGTATTAACTTTTTCCAGAATTTGTTATCTAAAACATTTAAGAAACAAGTAGTTCTACAATATTATATTTATGTTATTTTTGGGGCTATAACCACTATCTACTTTTGATTTTAAAATTATTATTAAAAATTCTAAAAATATATGAAGTATTAGTTAAAATAAATTTTAGTGCTGAAAATTTTGATTTCTATCAAGCCATTGGCAAGATATTACACTTTATAGTTTGGGTTACAGGAGAGTAGTGGAATATCATTTGTGTGGTGTTACAGAGCACAGCATGTTAATAATGCACCACCATTCTCTCTCAACCCAAACTTAAAAGTGGAATATCTTGTCAATGACTTAACAGAAAAAAAAATTTTCAACACTCAAATTTATTTTAAATAATACTCCATCTATTTATGGAATATTTAATATAGGTTGCCACTTGAAAATCAAAAGTAGATATAATGGTCTTTAACCCAAAAATAAGGGTGACAAAAAGTATTTTTTTTTTCAATATATATTTAAAATATTTATCAAATATGTCATAATTTCAAAAAACCTAATTTTTCAATTACTTTAATATTGATTCACTGTTAGTATTACATTATGTTGAAGCATACTTAAGGCTTTCAATATGATTAAAAATTGTGTACCAGCTTTTCTATTTTTGTTAAATCTCCATTCGATAAATTATTACAGCAGTTAAATAAATCAAAATCATAAATTATACTGAATTATTATTATTATATTAAAATAATATTCAGTTATACTTATTTATTGAAATGGGATTAAAACAGTAAATCATAATAAAATCCAAACAAGATTTTAATGATATAAAAAGATGCCAGCTACTAAGCAAATAGATGATACCAAGTGTATTAACATAAGCAATATAGGTTGTGCTTCATCTATTATAACAAATTAGATTTGTCATGTAGAATCTAGTACATGATCTAAGCTTAGTCCATGCACAACATTGAATGAAATAAAATTTAAAAAATAATTATATTTCTTCCCAGTTACACCCCCACACAATTAAATGTTGTTGGCTAATAATTTATTTTTATTAAAAAAACAAATATTTTCTTGCTTATGATAACTTTAAACAAATGAACTAACATTAAATCTTTACTATTATATAAAGAGACAATGAGTTCTTAAAGCTAATTAAAAAAACTACTGGAACAATTTGCATATTAATTTTGGCTTTTTATAGGTCGTACAGTTGCAGTGAAATATTTACATCAAAAACCAAACAAAACATATTTTGTAACTTGAAATTTGTCTGTAGTAGATTACATACAGGTGGCTTGTTATAGAACGATGTACTACATTTTTATTGTTGATACTACATTCTAATTGGTAACTATTAGCACATTAATTTATTTGAGGATACCAAGTTTCCCATATTATATGTTTTCTGGACTTCAGTCTCTTAGGTTGGTGGGTTTCTATGTTTTTTAGTAACTTATTAATGCTTTATACATATTAGCTTATTACTATGAATTCAATAACTTTATTTTAATATAAGACTCAAAGTGTCATACATGAACATTGAACAGTTAGTATTGAACAGTTAATAATGTATGTGGAGAAAATTGAAAAGACCCATTGTTATATCCCTTGGCCACCCCACATGAATAATGTCCTTCAAACAATCGTTATTAAAATTCAGCTTAACTGATTTGTCTATATTCTCCAATAAGGTGTACATATTACATATATAGAATATACAGACTTTTAACATAGTATGTTTTTTATTATTTCTAAAAAAATTTAAAAAATGAAAATTATTTAATCTATAATTACTGCGATAACATAACAAAGCTATAAAAAATACAATTTTAAAAATGGGTCCAATATTTTTTGTGATTTTTATAAACAAATTATACATAATAGTAAAAATAAACAGTTTATTATTGAATACAAATTTAAAAAACCATTATTTTATGAATATGGCATAAAAACATTAATTTTAAATTATCAAATACATAGTTCACATTTAATAAAAACAGTAAACCATCAAATACTACTATAGCCAATATATTCACTTTTTGGAAATGAATGTATCAAATTTATTTAGATTTACCATTTTTAAAACTAGACTAATATAAAATATACTGATGTTTAACTTTTATTATTTATTTATATATATTTATTATCACATTTGTTCTTAATATTGCAGAAGTTAGCAATAGACTTGAGGAATGGAGAGTAACAATTGAAGAGAAGAGATTAAGGATAAATAGAAATAAAACAGAGTACATAGAGTATGAGTTTGGAGAAAAAAGACAAGAAAACTATGACCAATAAGCAGTAACATAGGTTTGTACAAAATAATGGTCTTTGACAAGAATGTAAAATATAAGATTAAGTTTGGTTGGGTAAATTGGAGATTTAAAGGTAAGTTCTACAATAGTGTAGACAAAACTATAATGTGAGGAGTGTTGAGCGGTAGATAGACCAGGCCCCTCCAGATATATTATTTTTCCAATTTTTGTATGAGAAAATAATATACTTAATGTATTATATTATATTTTAATTGTGTTTGTGTTGTAAACAAATTGTTAGACCAACCCTCAGATCTTTGCTCTGGAATGAGAATATTTAGATGGAAAAGTAGAGTGACAGGAGAAGATAGGACAGGAATGAATACATAAAGGTAAGAGGTAGACTAGTAGACAAAATAAGAGAAAATAGACGGTCTGTGAATATAGTTTGTGCATGTAATAAGGAGAGAGGAATCAAAAGCAGTAAGAATTGTAATGAAAATAAACATAAGATAATATAGGTGTAGAAGACCATAAAAGGTAATTGGATGCAATTGAAAATGATATGAAGACAGTCAAAGTATGCGAGGTGGGAGATTGAGCCAAGTGGAAGTTTAGGACAAGGGTGACCAACTCCAAAAAATAGTAGGAATGGTGGCAAAAAAAATTAAAAATAAATTAGAGAATGTAATTGAAATAATTTTGGCATTGACTAGGTAAACTAATAAAAGCTAAACATATATATATATATATATTTTTAATAGTTTTAGCATTTATGGTACCCAAGTGTAAACACTTACAGAATGATCTTGGATTTCTTGTTCTTTAAGAGCCAATTTCCTGAGTAAACACTGTTCACGTGCCAACATTTCTTGATATGCATGGTCTGTGCGGTCTCTATTGTTACATTTGCTACATATTGACACTAAAACAATATGATACCTACCTACAATTTTATGAATTTAAATGTATGTATAATCTGCTTAACTAGACTGATAAATACAAACCAACACAGATTATTAATGACTGATTTGACACCCAAAAACTCATTAATATTTTAATAATAATAATGTAGGTATTTTTTGCAACAAACAAAAATGTGTTAATCTTATATAATTATGTTAATAATACCTAAGTTTTCTTTATCTAGATAACTTTTTAAGTAATGTAGAAAAAATATTAATTAACTGTGACATAGTTAAGTAATTTATTTTATAGCTTTAAGATTAAGTACCTTCTTTCGTTTTTGTTTCTAAATCGCGTATACGCGCCATGGCTTTTTTATACATATCGACAATACGCTGCCGGGGATATCGAATCATGTTGTCTTCTTCGATATTATCCATATAGCAAATACGTGTTAGTTTATCTTCAACCATCCTTATAATGCAAACAATTTTTATAATTTATAATAATATATAACATTTACACCAAGTACAACTCTACATAAAAACAAACACACTTTCGACTTGAAATTGCTATATTGTTGAATGCCTTAAAATTGATATTCATACAAATAAAATCAGGAATATTGTATTCATGAATTTTTCCAGGATAAAACTTAAGTTTATAGAGTTTATTGTTTGTTGAAATACCACTTCTCCGGACATAAAATTGAATATTTAAAAATACAAAAGAATATCAATACACATAAAAACGCAAATCGACCTGATAATAAATTATTGTTACCTATCTAATGGAATAGAATAAGATGCATTTGCTTCCGGCTACCAGTGCAGTGTTCGGTTTGGTGTTCATAGCGCGGCTATCCAAAATCCAAACACAGTAATTACCATTCTTATCAAATTGACTCTTTAAAAACCATCATACTCCTTGTTAAAATGCTAAACATTTTTATTCTAACTTCTTTGAAATATAACCATTAGTTTATAATTTACTAATCAGTACCTATACGATAAGGTTTTTCAAATTCTAAAATACAATATCTACATTGTACAAATTTAAAGATTAAAACATTTGTTTATTACTCATTAATATTATTATATTATTTTATAATATGGATGAATTTAATATTTGTTTGTTATATTTTTTTAATATTTTTGTTTTACATGACCATGACTATACTCCTCACACTAGATGTTCATTAAACATAAAATTTGTGGTGCATCTTGTATCTATATTAGCATCTTCTTTGTATATCTAGTGAGCTTGATATGATATGCTTTCACCTTATGTTCTTCCAATTTATTTCTAATAACTTCTATTTCATTTTGATTTTCCAAATTTTCAATTTGATTCTTAAACATAGAACAATATTTACGCGTATCAGCGTATTCAAACCTTTTAGTACATTTTTGTACAACTCTTGAAAAAATAATTCCCCATTTTTTGAACAAAAATCATTATACATCATACTCACTGACAGTTCTCGGGGTAAATATAAAGTATTTGAAGCATTTTCTGTAATGACTTATACTCGAGTTATATGTTTTAATATGGTTGATTATAATTTCCCTATCATATGTTCTCAAATTATTATTTTCACAATTGAAAGACGAGGTATCAATTTTCAAATACTTGCAAAGTTTGGTTAGAACCAAATCGTATGAGTATTTAAAAGTACATAGAAAAGTTGATTTACACACTTGTTGGTCATTATTCACCATCTGTTTACTATTTAAATAAAAAGATTGATTTCTTTTTGCTGAACTAGATGCAACTGTTCGACATTTAACTGGGCTTATAACTATACATTTTGCTAAAAATCTCCTTTCAGTATAACTTTGTGACATTGTTGTCTACATGAGTATTTTTAAACATAGAATTGATAGAAAATGCATAAGTAATATCTTTTTATGCTCAATAAATTCAACTACGTAGCAGGTAATCCATTTAAGGGGTACACTTATTATCTAAAAATATTAACTTATTTTTCGTAATTTATTTTCTAGAACATTTAATCTACAATTTTATATTTATGATATATTTTGTCACCCTTTGAGTATTAGTTAAAATAAATTTGAATGTTTTTCAAAAAAATTTTTATTCCTATAAAGCCATTGAGGAGATATTCCACTTTTAACTTTGGGTTGAGGGAGAATGGTGGTGCATTATTAATACACTGTGCTCTGTATCAACATATAAATGATATTCTTTTACTTTCCTCCAACCCAAACTTAAAAATGGAATAACTCCTCAATGGCTTTATAGAAATAAAAAATTTAAACACTCAAATTTATTTTAACTAATAGTCCATCCATGTATGGACTTTTAAATATAGGTTGCCATTTGAAAATCAAAAGTAGGTAGTGGTTATACCCCTAAAAATAACATAAATATTAAATTGGAAAGCTGTTTCTTAAATGTTTTAGAAAATAAATTCTCAAAAAACTGAATACTTACTGAGATAATGAGTGTACAGACTTAAATGGATCACCTAGTATACAATTATGATGCACAGCACCATTTGTAATTTGAGCCATGCTTACAAATTCATATCATTTATATGCTGTCCTAATCACAAATAAATATAATAACCATAAACTAAATTAACCTTAGATCATCCTATGAAAAAATAATTTTCTAAGACAAGATACAAATAAGTAAATAAAAGCCATTTTAATTTAGAAGCAGATCAAAATTAAGTCAAAATTGACAAGTTCATTACATGTCTTATTAACATTTTTAAAACTGCTCTCTTATCCTGAAACTAATCCACCATTGTTATTTTTTCATTTTATAATGAATAAACTCATTATCAAATGAAAAACTTGAATTAAAAGAGATTTTTTAAATTTTCAACTTCAACAAGACATTTTTTTATCAACATTCTTAAGTTAGGCAAGTCCTTGAGACCTCATTTACAATTAGTATAGAAATATTTTATAGTTCTGTTTTTCTAAGCAACACATTTGATTTCCAATGTAATAAATCATGAACACTTATTGTGAACAAGAGTAACATATCCATTGCATTTTATAGATAAATCTAATGCAGCAAACCCAGTATTACATAAAATACAATTATAATCAGAGGATGTCTAAATCAATTTTATCACAAATTAATATATAATAAATAAGAATGCACAAAACTCTAGATAATAGCAACTTAATTGGACAAGTTCAACTATTAGCCATAAACTGAATTACTAATTACTAATATTAAAAATTTAAATTATTGTAAGAAAATAAAGATTTTTTAACTACATTACCCACATATTTGTTGGCTAAATATTTTTGAATTGTTCAATTGAATATTTATTTTAAAACCTTAAAATGTAAAACTGATAAAAGTAAATATATTTTTTTAGCTCTTAAGTTTAAAAAATATTCAGCGTTTTCTAAAATAATTTCAATAAAAATGTGTATGTATTATAGTGAGGTCAGAATAATTACAATGTAATCAAAACTAACTAAATAAGCGAAAGGAAAAAGAATTTACAATAAACATTTCTAACACAAATGATTTGTTATTTTGTTGTAATTTAAAAAATAGTAATCTGAACTTCAAATGATCAACAATTATTATAATCCATAAAAATTTCATAAGAGCATTTTTCATTTAACATTTTATTTTATTTAAAATTTTCCATTACATAAAAGTAGGAATCAAAAATTATGCATATTTTTCATTTTAAATACAAATATTGAAATCTTCATAATAGAACTATAGAAAATTGTAGTAGAAAATTAATATTAAAAAAAAAAGATACATACAATTATTAAGTACACAATTGGCAATTTTACTTGAACATAAAACATACTTTTATAAAATAGTTGATTCACTCAACAGAGAAAATTCATTATCTTATAAAGTATTAATATTTTTTATTTGAAAATTTAAGAAACAAATGGTTCTAAAATGTTGTATTAGTATTAATTTAAAGAGTGAACAACTACCTACTTTTAATATAGATTGCTATTCTAAAATCAAAAGTACGTAGTAGTTTTACCTACAAAACGAATAACAAAAAAATAAAAAATTCTGGGAATAAATTTAATACTTTTTGAGATAATCAATGTTTTCTGTTGAGTTAACAACCCAGCATATGTGTATATATAATGAAAACTTATTTATTAGATAACTAGTTAGTAACTAGGTCAAACCATTCTCTAAGTGCGTCACTTAAAACACCAGGCATTTTATCAACATCTCTTAAAACAACATAAAATGAAAATGGAAAGTGGTCCATATATGATTCAATACGAACTGAATTGTTCTCGAATATTGGTATTTTCATATCTAGAATAGAATCCTAAAAATGAAAAAAAGGAGTATATAAATATTTTATTTAAAAACTATTTAATATTTCAGTACAACCAAACTGAGTTTAGTAGTTAATTTAGTTAATTTAAAAAAAATTACAATAAATAAACATATCTATGTCTAATAACAACTTATTTTTAATAATCTCTCTTATTAAAATAAATTATCTCTATGCAAAATAATTTTTTTTCTCTATGTATTTCTACATTTATTTTTTCATACTTTGTTGAGTTTCAATTTTTAACTTGGTAATTTACTTCATGATAAATTTTTAATTTTAAACCGTACAATATACATACCTTAATATATTAGGCACATTCGTATGTTTATTTATTAATTTCTACATATAAATTGTTTATTTAAATATTTAATAAATAAACATTATTTTTTTAGTACTTTTACTAATATATTGTTTTAAATCTTCACAATTAATGTAATAATGTATTAAATATATTTCTATAATCAATTACCTAAATGGCAAGTAACAAATAAATTTAGACTCTTCAGTGATTTAAAATTGTTTACAGCAGTACGAAATTGAGAACTATCAACTTTAAAATATATTTTGCAGTTCTAAATATATAAAAATTAATGTTGAAATTTAATAAAAGTATTCAGTCTTTAAAGTTTTAAGTCTGGTAATAATAACTTCATTTGAAATAATTAATAAGATTGGGCTTAACTTTTTGTGAAAATGATTATTTTTAATAACAGTACACACAATTTATTTGTATAAATCAAGAAAACAATTTAATAAAATTAATACTGATATATTGTCTAAGTATGTACACAAACCTTGGATGTTGGATTGTCAATAATAATAAAAACAATGAATATTCCATTAATTTTAGCTGATCTGATAGCATTTGATAAAATATCCGGTCCTTCACATTTTATTCTGCGACCATCACTCATTATGACTAATAGTTGAGCTGGTTTATCACTATCATCTAACCGACCCCTATTTTCAAATACTGCTGTAGCTAGTTCCACAAGTTCACCAACTTTAGTGTTATCCTCATTAAAAGTAAATTCATGCATCAGTTTAGCGCCTGTTTGATCAGAAAAAGGTTCACCAAGTGGATGCACAATTCTAGCATGTTCTCCAAAACTCATAACACCTAATTCACCAGCTTCAACTAATGTGAGTGCTTTACTCACAAGTGCTAGAGACTTGAAGGTTAACTAAAACACAAATACAAATTATATAACATTAAATTTATAAATAATATTGAACATAATGCTTTGAGTTTTGTTACTTTTTCTAGTACCAAACATTAGTTGTGATTATAATAATACAAATATATTATACATGTTTATTTATATATCTAATACAAAAGGAAGTTTATAACAAATGATTGACCAGTTATTAATTTCTCATTATACCTAAGATGAATATGTATGTTATCTTCAACATTGAACTACAAAACATCATGTTTTAGTTAAATTTACGATAGAAACTTTAATTAATAATTAAATGACTTAAATGTTCAAGAAATTAACAAAACTATCAAGCAGCTAAAACTAAAAATATATACTGTCTACTCACATCTTTAGCCATGCTATCAATCATGCTACTAGAATTATCAACAGCCATAATGATCTGATACTGTCGTTTTGAGGGCTTTGTCCTTCTTAGCCATATTTTATCTTTTCTAAACTGACTAGCAATATAAGGTATAACTCGTCTCATGTTTATTCTTCGACCAGTTCTAAAATCTCCCTGTAATCTAGATGCTTTACTTGGTTCTAAAACTAATCGCAACTGTTCACTTAACTCTTGAGATAGAGAAGAAGTTGTATTCATAAATTTATGCCATTCTTCATTATTTTGAAGTCCATCATCATTTTGGTTCTAAAAAAGATAAATATAGTTTATTATGACTTTTTTTTTTGTGTGTCTGTAAACAACTTTTCTACAAAAAATCTTAATTTAATTAATAAATAACAAGAACTTGATGTATTTTATCTAGTTGGTACAACATTAAAGAGATCATTTTTTTTGTTTTACCAAAGTTTTCAAAATAATTAAGCTAATCTAAATGTATAGGAAAACTGGACAAATATTAACAAGCATTATTAATTTCATTATTTTTTCAGAATTGTTTTTTACCAAAAATTCCATTCAAAAAAATGCCAAGAGACTTCTTTTGTTAAACTTTGAATCTAGTTAGTATTTTGTTGCAATTCTGTTAAAAATATTTGTTGAGACTTAAAATTTTCACAAATAATTTATATTGACCTTCTCTAGATTTGGTAAAAATGTGGAGATATTTATATGTATTTAACATTTTTTAGATCTTTATAATAGGTACTATGGAGATAAAAAATATAAATATTGACATTTCAAAACATCTATAACTGAACCTCACTTATTTGGGTATATATAGTTTATTGTTGTTTAAATATAAATTAAACAATTATGACTCTACCTTTTCTTTTTCAATTTCAAAAATAATAGTTAAAAAAATAAAATTTACCTCTACCCATTTGTGAAATTGGTTCTTAATCAATTCGTTAAAATCAGTTTTGCTCAAAGAAAATTCATCGTTATCTTCTGTGACATCCATGGTATGGAACATTGTGTCCATACCACGTTCAGCTGTATGCGTAAGAACTACTTCACCATCAATTGTATGTTTTTCAATTAGATTATCTTCTATTTTTTGGCAATCAGAATCATTCATAGATTGTTTGTTTTTAATTTTTGATTTTATTTTTTCAGGCAAAATTTCTTCACCAAGTTCTTTGGTTTTATTTTCATTTGAAATTTCTTCAACTTCCATTTCTTCAACTTCCATTTCATCATCTTCTTTTAATTCTTCTCCTATTTGATTTTCAATGTTTGGTACAGGCATTTTTTCAAGTTGTTCCTATAAACAAATTATTATTATAATTATCAACATTTTAATGAAGAAAATTGTTTTTTTTTTTTTTTAAATTGTTAAAAAATTTACATTTGTAGCAGCATCTAAGGTTTCAGTATCGCCATTTTTAGATTCCTTAATGTGTTTGAATAATTCACTTTTTTTTGCATCATTATTTTCATTCACATTATTATGATTATCTTCATTTTTATATTCCTCTTGAATATCAGTTGTTTTTAATCGTTTTTTCATTGGACCAATATTTTCAGCTAAGGAAGAAAAATATTAAATTACAAAAACAAAAAAAACATTGGTGTACAGACATTTTAACTAAACATAATTACATTTTAAATGAAAAGAAAGAAAATTATTTAACAATAAAATTTAGTCAATTTATAGTTATGTATATTTCTTACCCAAGGTTCTGTCTATATCTTTTTCACCGGGTTTTAATCTTCGTTTATTTTGAGTTCCAGATTCTTCACTGGGATTACCTATATTTTGATCAATACTATGTCCTTCTTTAGTATCTTTACTTTCTCTCTGAGATTGACCTACACCCTGCGTCTCGGGACCTGTGGCTTCTTCTGTATTTGATTCAAATTCTTCATTTTTATCTTGTCCATCAGCATTTTGACAGACTTGATCTTTAGAGCCACTATTATCTAGATTGGACGGTTGTGTTTCGATTTGACTAGGTTTATCATTTGAAGGATTAGCTTCTTCTAAATTTATTTTCGTGTCAGTTTCCTTTACTTCATCATCTAGTTTGTTACTGTCATCATTGTTTGTATCATCAAATTGGTTTCCTTCTAAATGTTCATTGTCCTCAGACTTAGTTTCTTCATCACTAAGTTCTTCTAAGTTATTGAGATTTTCTTTTAATTCTTCAAATTCAACACCATCGTCATTGTTTATGTTTTCATCAACATTTTCTTTCATAACATCTATATCAAAAGGATTATCTTCTTCAAATTTTTCTTCGTTATCATTCATTTCACCTTCATCCAACTGAAGATCATTTGGTAAATCCATAGGCTCTGGTTCAGGAGGAGGTTGCATATTTCCATGCATTGAATCAATATGATCTTCCCCTACTGGTTCACCATTTTCATCCAATTCATTTATGTCTTTTTCGAGGTTATTATGTTTTTGATCATCTGTTTCATCATTATGTTCATTAGCTTCAGCAGTAGGAATTTCACTTTTAGGACCAAGCGATTTATTTCCAATATCTTCACCATCCTGGCCATCAACGTCTTCTTTTAAATCATTGATTTCCTGTTCGTCACCATTTTCATCTTCAGAATCATTACCCCACAGTTTTTCATCTAAAGTATCTGCACCTTCAGAAGTTTCTCCCATTTCTTTATCACAATCTTCACCATCATTTTCTTCATTTTCACAAGTATTTTGTTCTACATCATGCAATTTTCCATCAAAATCATCTGACATTTCTACACCATGTTCTTCTTCCTAAAAAATAAATATTATACAAGACCAAGTCTAGAAAATAACTGAGCCTCTCATTAATGTAGCTTATATAATTAGCTTATAATTACCTTAAGATCTTTATCTAGTTCTTGTTGATCATTATAATTTTGTTTAGCATCCTCTAATTGATCTTGACTTTCAATTTCATTTGAAACATCTTTTTTTCCTTCACCATCATCTAAACCTAATCCACCATTCTTACAGTCAAACTGTGCGTTTTCTTCACCTTCCAATAATTCATCAGGTATGCAAAAACCCTGAAGAAAAATATTAATAATATAAACAAATAAAATATTTTATTGTAAACTTACATTTGAAGCAAGATCTGTAAATAAAGTAGATAGTAAATAACTCATTTTTACTAGAACTCTATAAACCATTGTTTGTTGAGTAATAAAATATTGTACTAGTAATATATATTGCTCAAATAGTGGACGGCATACTTTTAATAAATTGTCACCAACAGATAATTTTAGTATATTTTTAAACTGATTGGTAATAGAAGCTAAATCACAATCTTCTAAATCAGAAGACAGAGGTTGAATAATGAGATATTTTAATAATTTTTTCTCTTCATTTTCAGATTTAATTTCTAATTGTTTTTTGTACAATTTTTCTATTGATTTAAGAACTTGAGAAATAAAATTGTTCATTTCTTCTAATGGTTGTTCATTATTCTCAGTTACAAAACTTTGACATTTAAAATTATGTTTGTTTAATGTGTTACTATCATTTATCCATATATCTTTGTAGAATCCAATAATATACTCTCTTAATTTATCACACATATCAACAGCAGTTTTATAATTTTCCTGAGTTACGAAATTTACATTAGACAACTTCATAGCACAATATGTCTTTTTATCCATTAAAGAATTTAGTGAATTTTGAGTCAAATTAATCATATTATCAATATCATTGAGTATCTCATTAGATGTTTTATTTGATTTGCTTTTAGAATAATAAGCACAAGATGATAAATTAAATATAGTTGTTATGGAATCAGTTGATTTGAAATCTATATTTTCATTACAGCATTGTATAGCAACTTTAAATTGTTGCAAAATATTGATACCATTAATCAAATAATTGACAGGTTGCTGAAAAAAATATAATTTTTTAAAAATTAAATACAAAATCAATCAATAAAAAGCTCTTAAATTTAATGAATAATAAAAACTAAATAGTACCTGAAAATCATCAGATGGATTAAATATAATGCTTTTTGAATTTGTAATTTGATCAGATAAGTAAATCATACTTCGGAAATTAACAAGAGAATTAATATTTAAAGCTAATATTCTTTTGGTATTCCATGTGACAGTCTATAAGTTATACAATTATATTAGATAAGCACAGTATACAAATAATATAAACAAAATAATGTGGATTACCTTTAAATCATTAACAAAACCCTTGATACGGTCCATTTCCAGAGGACCTAATTTGGGCGTTTCAGATGATAATTTTAAAGCAGAAGTTTGAGATATAGACTTCAAAAAATATACTTCACAATCAGTCCAAGCACACCGTAAATCATCATCTACAAGTCTAGAATTAATTAATATTATTGAATATTAGAATAGAAAATTATGTAAATAGGTATAAATAAATTCACGAAAGTTAATTGTAAATTTGGTGCAAATTATTAGGTAAAATATTTAATTTAAATCAATAAATATAATTTCTAACTAAAAAAAATATAATGAATTGAAAATGATAATAACTTGAGAAATAAAATGGACTATACTTAATATAGTATTAATACAAAAATGTTAATTTGAATGGTAATTAACTTTTAAAATAATTACAGTAAAACCTTCTAATAATGGAACTACTGGGAACCAACCGATTTTTCTGTTATAAAAAAGTTTCCATTATAGGGAGACTAAAATATAGGGTATAGATTGTTAGATCTATTGTTGTTTTCTATTTTAAGGAAATTTCCACCTTATAGGGGTTCTATTATAAGGAGGTTTTTGACTGTATATACAAAAAACTTTAACTTACTTAGGGGTTAGTGAATCAAGAGCTGCATTGATATCAATGGGTGGTAAATTAGCAAATTCAACAGAACAATTTAGGTCTTCTTCACAACAAATTAAACCAGCTTTATAAGACAAACCAATATTTTGTAAAGCTTTAAATAATTCTGATAATGCTTTACGTTTTTGTTGCAAAATGTTTTTGGCTTGAGACTTTTGTTTAACTTTAGACAATTCAGGATCAACTTTTAAATCACGTAATTCATTAGCAGATTCCATAATACTATTTATAAAGTCATTTAATTCTGTTATATGTGTTGGATAAGAGCAATTGGTAAGTATATTTTCCGAAATTGTAAATAATTTTTTTGCGTATTTATTAATGTTTAAAAGAACATTACATTTTTTTGAAGATTGTATGTTCTAAAGAAAATATATACATATATATATAATTTATTAAAAACAAAATTCAATACATTTAATTAATTAGTTAGTTAATTTATTATTTACCAAGGTTGTCTCGCATTTTTCCAAATAATTGTTGAATATAAATGTAGGTGGAGTATATCGATCAGTTTTAGTATTCAATATTGCTGAAGTTGTAATCATAGCTGATGATGCAGGTTTACTTAAAATTTCCTTTAATTAACAACTTATATAAATAAATAAAATTTAAAATAAATACTTGTATACATAAAATAAATAGAAAATAATCATACCTGATACTCTCGTGTATATTTATGCAAAGTTTGTTGGACTTTATTAATCGTTTCTTTAACAGTCCAATAATTAATATCATTCCATTTTACTATTTTTATAAAACCCTGCAATTTATTCTTAATATCAGCACTCTGTGATTCAATTTGTTGATTTATTGAATCTTTAAATTGGGAATAATATTTAAAAAGATTCCAAGAGGCATTGCACAATTCAGTTTGTTTTATAGAACTTTCTCTACAAACTACATCACAGTGAAATGTATAAAGTAATTCTAATCTTGCAATATATTCTCCTAAAGATGAACTTTCCATAAATTTTTGTATGGCAATAACAAGTTGTGGGAAACTTTCTTGGTTGTGTAGATATGTTTGAAAAATTGAATATAAATGGAACCACCACTTAGATGAATTATTTTGTACTCTATATTCAAATGGATAAATTAAAATGTTGGTAATGTAACATTTATGTACAACAAATTTTAATATTACTTTATCAATGAAGTTTTTAAGCAATCCTTCCATGTACTTAACTCAAGGTTTCGATATTCTTGAATACATTGGGTTATAATTAATGTTACTTCATGTAAACTCACACCTTTGTGAGCAACCATTTCCCATTCATGAAGTTTAGTTAAAAGCAGTTCAAGGCCAATAAGGAATCGACATGCTGGACTATCCCAGTTGAAATCCATTATCCGCTCAACTACTCTAAGTATCTGTAAAATCAATTTATTTTTATGTTATTGTACAATAAATTACAATTTCTAATATTCATAATTATAATCAAGTTGTATATAATTTAGATATGTAGTATTAACATAAAATTAATTCAAAACTTTTACTAAGAGTTTTAATATATTAAATAAATATACATTTTTTTTAAATTTATTTAGTTTATTTGTGCAAGAAAAATTATAAAAGATTATTTTTGTGGTGGACTTGATTTAGTAATTTGGTATTCTAGATTTCCCAGAGTTATGTATCAGATTTTTAAGAATATTATAGTAATTTTATTTGGATGAAAATTCATTGGTAATAAGATGAGTATTTAGTCAAAAGGAATGAACAATATTCTGATTGTCTGGTTGGTGTAAAAAGAAATGTTATTTTTGATTAGATTTTTTAACAGTGAGATGAAGTCTCAGTAGTTTTGACATTCAATGTAATTTTTTTCTCCCCTAAGGAAAGTTTGACCTAACTCAACCATAAAAATGTATGGCTCTATTGGTGCCTCGTCAATCTTTTCATTATCTACTATACCAATCTGAGATGACCAAATCCAAAGCCTTTGTAGTTAACAATTGAGGTTGATAAAACCAAATCAATAAGTCAATAAATCAATGATAATTAATCGGTAATTACTTGTTGATCACTTTTTCTAGTTTTTGTATACATTTATATAATATTTTAAATAATGGCTAAAATGATATATCATGTGAGAAATGAATACACGTGTTACATTATTGGAGGCAGAATGCATAGTAAAATTGTATGAGATCTAATCAAAAAGTATTGATACTGATAAGATTAATCGTAAACCGGTTTGAGTATGACCTTGCATGTGCTATATTAATCTAACTTTATATGTTGGGAAAATATATTAGACATAGATTAGATTAACATCGTCTCAGTTGGCTTCTAGGTGCGATTAAGTAAAGTGTGATTTTACGTCCTATCGGATTTCATTATGAGCGAAAATATAGAACGAGTGTGCATTAAATTTTGCCATAAACTGGGAAAAACGGTTACTTAAACCTACCAAATATTATTGTTAGCTTATGGAAATGTAACCATGTCCCGTGCTCACGGTTTTGAATGGTTTAAACGATTTAAAAAGGGTAGAACAACTGTTGAAAATGATTAACGTGAAGGATGCCCATCAACAAGCCGCAATGAGAAAATGATCCAAAAAATACGACAATCATGGAAATTAGTAATAAGATTTGCTAGAGTGTTCCGAATCTGATGATTTTTTTTTTAAATAAATTATAACTGGTGACAAGACTTGGGTATATGGCTATGATCAGGAAACAAAGGTACAATCTTCACAGTGGAAGATACCTAATTCGCTACGACCCAAAAATGCTCGTTAAATTTGGAGTCAAGTGAAGGTTATGTTGACTGTTATTTTCGACTACCAAGGTGTTTTTCATCATGAGTATGCTCCAAAAGGACAGAAAATAACAAAGGAGTACTACATTGATGTTCTTCTTTACGAGATGATGTACGAAGAAAAAGATCGAGTTTAAAGAGTCTGGTAGTTGGAAATTGCATTACGATAATGCACCAGCCCATTCAGCCAATGTTGTGCAGCAGTTTTTAGCCATACATGATATCCCAGTGGTTTCTCAACCCCCCTATTTACCAGACCTAGTTCCATGTGATTTTTTTTTATTCCGGAAGATAAAAATGGCGTTTAAGGGTAAACATTTTCAAGATGTAGATGGAAAAAAACAAAATGCGAGCAGCTACAAGGAGTTTCTAAAAATTATTTTCAGAGGTGTTTTCAAAAATGGCAGGAACATTGGAGAACATGTATAGACTCAGAAGGAGTATATTTAGAAGGAAATGGAATATAAATAACTTTATCTAATAAATATATATATATTTTTTTAATAGTCTTGATACTTTTTGATTAGACCTCGTATACTCTACATCTTATAAGTAATATTTTATAAGACACTATCCAATTAAACCAATATTAACATACCGTCTGTAATGTAGGATGTTCTGGCCATTCTGATATTAATTTTCGAATTTGTTCCTCAACTATAGTAATAACTTCAAAAGTCTTTTTGGAAAATTCCAAATTAGAATCTCGATAAAAATCATAGTAACCTTTATTATCAATTTTTTGAGGATTACTTGCTATATCAGTAGCTATTAAAAGCCATGGCATCATTTTTCCATCCATTGAAGAATCCAAATACATAAACTTTGACATTAATAGTTTTCCAAACAAACAAAATCTATCAGAAAATGAATTTTTTAATCTATTTACTGCTTCACTTTGATCAAATTTAACTGAAGATGCTGATAACCAAAAAGCTAATGCTGCTGGTCGTACTAAATCAGTATGTAGTTTACAAATATCATTAATGTCTTTATCAGTAAGGTGATAGACTTCAGGAGCAATAGAATCTTGACATATATCGGTATCTAGTGTAAGGGGGCTCTCAATGTCATTAAAATCATGTTTGGATGTCGGAAATTGTTGAGATACTCCTTGAATAATTTCAATTTCCAATGGTATAGTTTCACACAAAGATCTTTGTTTATAAATGCTAACTTCTTCACGATTTTTATTTTCTATTTCTTCTTGAAGATATTTCCAATTATTCACAAACTTATCAAGAATAATGCCAATAGTATTTATGTATTGATCACATTTACATGAATGGCCACTTAAATAAAACATATTATTTAATTCTTCCAAACAAAGTTTGTACCACCTAAAAAAATTGTATAATAAAATCTAAGATTCAGTTCAATAGATTAAAGTTACTGTGTACCTAAATTTATCATTAGTGCTCATTAACAATACATCATCTATATTTGCCATTTTTATAATGTTTGGGCAAAATCGTGGAAATTCCCCAAATAGTGTTAATATTTCTTCTTCATAAGTAAAATTGATCTCCTTTGGTATAGCCCATTTATATTGATTTTTTAGTATTCTCATTCCATATCTCATCTGATATAATAATTATTAAGTTTTAGTTTCTGTATATTAAAAAATAAATTACTATGTTTATACCTGATTTACAGAAAGAAGTATTCCAGATAGAACATCTGGATAACCAGCATATCTTTCATTTAAACTATTATGAAAATTAGTAACAGAATTAAGCCAATTTTCCATTTCATTAACTAGAGTTACACGGTCCATAATATTTGCGTTGATTAAATTATAAGTATTGCTATCTAAACCATACATTTTTGAAAATCGGGTTATATCCTAAAATAAAAGTATGAATATTTTTACCTTAATTATAATTGTTTGAATAATAAAACATACCTTTAAAATAACATTATACATTGGTGGTTCGGGCCTATAGCCAACATTTTTGTTATCTTTGATCAAAAATTTTAGTCTCTGAGTATAATATTGTTTAAATGGAAATATATCAGAAATACCATCAGCTTCGCAAAATAATTTTTCAGCCTTTAATCTACTATTAAGCTTATTAATCTAAAAACAAATGTTTAATATAAAGGCATTAATTTACCCACTTTAATACAAGTTAATAGAATTACCTCTGCCTTGGAACATTCAATGTGTACTTTTATTTTTTCTAATGGGTCTACAGGACCAATATCTTTAAATATTTCAAGGAATACCATGCCTGACAGCACCCATAAACGACCAGCACTAAACTGTATCTGTTTGATAAGATAGGTGTTTGAACTAGATCTTTTATGATAGCATAAATCTAAATTAGTTTTAATATTGCTAAGTTCTTTAGCAGTATCAAAAATAGCTGTAATCATTGATTCATGGTAATCCACTTTGTCTATAAAAGAACTGCGACATTTTTCATCATATCCTAAAGAGTGTAATTCTTCTAGAGATGAAATATCATCAGGAAGTAAAGCCGAGAAAAATAATTCAATCATTTTTATTAATGATTTTATATTTTCAAACCTATAAACATAAAAACTTTAAATAAAAGAAAGAAAATAATGTAAATAATAAAAAATATAAAACTGACTGTATATCTGAATTCCATTTAGAGCTATTCCATATTAAACTTTTAATAAACACTAAATTATGTTTATTATTATCAATAAGCCTTAAGGGTGTAGGTGAAAATGTGCAAAATAAGTCAGTTTTCTTTAGTAAAACATTAGTTATAAATGTAGTGAATAGTGGTTGTTCAAATGAATACAGTGATTCCTAAAGAACACAAAATGTATTAGAGAATTTATAAAATATTAATAATTTGTATTAGTATTTAATACTTGATTAACTGCGTTTTCCTGGTCTTCTAATTCCATAACTTTTTTAGGTGACCATGCAAAATATAATTCTGGGTTATCAATAGCAACAGAGTTCATTGAATGTTTTAAAGATTCCGTCAAAAATTCAATAGAGAAAACTTTATTTTTTTTTAATGAATTGTAGTAAAATGGAGATACAGTTGGAACAAACTTCAACAATGGCTTTATTAAAGAATCGTAGCCATTTCTTATTTGAATTTTATCATTAATAAAATTATAATTAATATAAGAAAAGATATTTCGTTCAATTATTAATTCCCAAATTGGAATAAGATTTATTTCTTTGTTATCAAATTCACTTGTATTTATATCTAAAAAAATACAAATTATATTATACCAATATGCAGACTAATTATAAGATATACCTTCAGTCTTGTAATTTGAAATCAATTTGCAATTAGCATATTCAAACTTAAGTAAATTGTTCCTTTGAATTTTAGTTTCATTTGTAATTAATGCATGTATGTTATTCAATTTAATTGCAGTAATTAAATTATTATTTTCTCTACAAGTTATAAAAATAATGAATATTATTTGTTTATTTAAGTGCCAAAAATTTAGTGAGGTTTTAATTAAATTAAATACTTAATATATATATACTAACTGGTATGCTTCAATATTTTTATCACCATGATTTTTGCAACACTGATGTAAAGGTATAAGCATCCAATGTGTAAATGATTTCATTAGCTTTGTATAACGTTTAGGAGTTAAATAGTTTTTTGAAACTTGATTTTTCATAATTATTAATTGTTCTAAGTATGCATACCTATTTTTAATTATAAAATAATTAACTCACATTTATATACTAATTAAAAATATATTACTTTTCTGTTTTGATCATTGATTCTATAATGGGTATAAAATGTTTAACAATAACATTGAAATAACTGTATACTAATACAGTAACAAATTCGTTTTTCTCTTTCAAGTTTTCAAATATTTTTTTTTCAATTGTTCGAGTCCAGATTATTAATTCTTTAAACCGTGTACTGTTGAATTCGTTAATATTTACTGAATGGTCATTCAAGAAATAATTTATGAAGTCCTCAAATGCATTAGATAATATGGCATAATCATGCAATATACCACCATTTGAAATCATAATTTCTATATATATAAAAAAAAAAAAATAATATCTAAAAATAAACCAGATTTAAATGTAATTGAGTTACTTTTTTCATTTATTTTTTTTAGTAAAAAATTTTGATCTAAACATTTATTTAATGCCCAATCCAACATCAGATGTATTTTATTTTCAGCATATGGAGTTAACTTGGAAATAGTTTGCACTTTATTAAAATAAACATCAGGTAAATATCTAAAATCAAATGGTAAATCTTTGTGGTCTATATAGTCTACAGATTTTGTTACAAACTGTAACAAATCAAATTTCAATTCAGGAGGTGTTTTTATAAATTGTTTAATAGCTTCATCAGAAAAAGTTGACCGTTTTGATAACCATTGACTTCTAACTGTGACATCTGAACTGGATGACCGTCCAAAATAGCATAATAATAAATCTTCAATGCTTATTTCACCATTATATTTGTGTTGTTCCAATATATTGCACTGTTGATTTATGTAACAGAAGTTTGATGATTGCAAAATATCTATTAATTTAAGATTAGGGATCCAAATTTCATTAGGAATTTTAGAATGTTCTTTTAAAATGCAATCAATTTCCATTAAAGCATTTTGTTTTGAATTTCCATTTAAATGATGGACATATGTATCAATACATATTTCTCGGATAGCTTCTATTACTGGTTTTCCTCCATTAATGTTTTGAGACACTAAATATGCAGTACGAAGTAAATGATTTATACTAATAGCAATTCCAGTAACAAAGTTTTTCATAATTTTGTGGATTTCTATTAATTTATGAATGACTGTTTTGTCATGAATGCCTTGTACATCAAGCAAAGAATAAATATCATGGCTAGATATTTCTTCTAATGGGCACATACAAATTTCAACACCTCGATTTTTCATTGCTCTGGAAATAAAAACATAAATTTCAAAAAATTAATGTTTTTATTTAAGTCAAAATATCAAATATTTTTACCTTGAAATACTTCCATGTTTTGGATCCATAGCTAAGAAAAGTCTAAAATCTTTATGTGGTTTTATAGTTTGTATTTGTCCATCAGAACCAATACCCTTTTCACCTAATTCTAAAACTCCATTGGGTTCTAACAATCCATTTAAACGATCTAATACAGCTGGACTGCATAAATTTACATTGTCAATTAACAACCAATTACCATTATTTAGACACTATAAAAGTATATCAATAAATAAACAATATAATATTAAAAATAATATATATATATTAACTGACTTTGATTAAAATACTATCTATCCATTCAAACTTTCCACCAGAGTTTAAATTTCCAATAGAACAAACACGGTCTTTAAGAACTTGAAGTGAAGAAGTTATATCAAAATCATTTAGTGCAGTGGAGATTCTAATTAAAGCATGCGTACGGTTTTTAAATAAAGTTGTTTCTGACACCATAGTAGTCACTTTATTATTCCACACATCTGAAAACAAAATAATAAACATTAGTTGGTTAAAACAATAACTAAAATGTGTACATTTTTTATTTTACCAGTCATTTTCCTATATTCATTCCACAAATATAATAACTCAATGTAATCGGTTTGACCATTTAACATTTTTTCACTAACTTTCAAATAAATTTTATTTTCAATTATTTTAGCAAAGTCTTCAAGGTGTCTATTATAATCAGCCTACAAATATTATTTTTTTTTTTTTATAAATAAAAAGTAATTAAAATTAATTAGTTAATTTATTACTTGCTCAAATCCACCAAGTATTTCAATTGTGTCTAAAGCTGAATTCACAGATAATGTATATAATTCACACCCATAAAGTTGAGCTAAAGTTTTAATTACAGAATTTTTACCACTACCACTGCCTACCTAAAGTTAACAATAATGACAAATTGTAATTCAAAATCATATAATTAATAGAAAATACAGTTAAACATAAAAAATAATATTACCAAAATAGGCATCCAATTCATTTTAACACATACAGCTAATGAATTCAAAATATGAATATGTGACCTCAAAATTAGCTTACTATTACTTTGATCAATTGGCATATTAATTGCTCGGTTACGTGGTACTACAATTCTATTAAACATAATCGCTGAAGGAAATACTCTCATGAATTCATATTTCTGACATTTAATGTTAAGTAAGATTTGCATTTGATCAAATACCTTATAAAAAATTATTTCAACATATATAGATTAAATAAAAAAATTAATTATAAGAACTAATAGAAATATTATGATATACTTACTTCATTTTCAATATTTTGTAAGCTCGGTAATCGGTCAGTAAATATTAAAGGCAAATGGTCTAAAACAGTAGAACCCAATGCAATTGTAACATCAACCCAACGTAAAATATCTCTTAAATTTGTGTCAACATTATATTTATTACCGAAAGATAAAGTAAAATCAACTACTTTTTCTAAATGTAATGTTTTAATGTCATTTATTTTCGGTGTATAAATATTTTCAATTATATTAACAATATTATGACTGCATAATATATCTAAATGAATCTAAAATTAAAATTATAACTTTTATAACCCATAAATAACATATATTTTTAAAATAAATTTTTAACATTACTTGGAGAAATCTATTCAAAAAGGATTTTGGTAACCCTTTTCTAGCACCACCTTCACTCATTGGATTTTGACAAGCGAATATTCTTGTTTTCTTAGATTCTATGATAAATGTTTTGCTAAGTTCTGGGATGTATAATTCACCTCTATGATCAAGGACAGCATTTAATCCTTCCAGTACAGACTGTGATGCTAAATTTAACTTAAACAAACAAATAATGAAAATTAATAAGTTATATTTATTAGTTAAAATAACTCTAAACTAAATGTGTTATACTTCATCTAATAAAATCCAGTTTCCTTTTTTTAAAGCTCTCAAAAACGGTCCATCTCTCCATTCAAAACTTCCGCCATCACCTCCATCTATTGGCAAATCTGAACCAAATAGATCAGACACGTCTGTTTGTTCCGAGAGATTAATGCGAATCAATTCATGACCAGATGCTTTAGATACAGCTTGAATTAAACTAGTTTTTCCAACACCAGGACTTCCTTCTAACAATATTGCTCGACAATCTATTTGCATGCACCGTAGTAATTTTTTAAGATTTTGCTTAGTAATTGGATCATCAAATGAATATTCTGGTACTTTTATCTCAGGCAAATTACCTATTAAAAATATAGTCAAAATATTTGAAAAATCAAATGTATTTAAATAAAATATTGTTAGCATAATAATTACCTCTAGATATATAATATCCATCACACCCAAAACATTCAGGTGAATCTTTAATTTTATCCACAAATAATAAATCACTGAAGTCAATTGTATTTTGATATTTTGTTATTATAGAATTATTTAAAGCATTCTTAATATTTCGGTCATGGCTACAAAAATATTACTATGAATATTTTATTAATTTAATTTAAAAATAAAAACTTACACTGGATTTTTATCAGGTTTTTTATCAAGAAATACCATAATTGCTCCTTCTCTATAAAATGTTATAAGTGCTTGCAATTTTTTTTTGTCATCAGTTGGTGAAAATTGTTTCATCATTGCTTCAATAAACTTTACCCAAATAAGGTAGTCTCTAATGCTTATGTTCAACTTTAAATAACTATGATATAAATGACACAAATATAAAAGGTATTTATTGAAAAAAAAAAAAAATCAATTAACAACTAAATTTAAGATTTAATTTACTAAAATTAAAAATAGCAACTAATTAAATAAATATATATATACCATAAGTTAATATTTCAAAACCTATCATAGAGATATTATAAAATTCTATAAATATATATTTAGGAAAAGGAAAATCACGAATAGATTTCATTGAGATTAATATGTATATGTTTAGTGCTTTGCTATCAATTTTTGAAATACTTAATATGTGTTATATAATAGTAATAATAATAGTAATAGTAACTAATAGTATTAATATCTTAATACTTTTATGCATGTGTTGGTAACATTAAGTTATATCATATTACACAATAAAACAATTTTTGAAAATATTGTTACATGGATTTCTTTGATAGGTCCAAAATTTATTAAGGATTTTTAAGATTTATAAAATATATTGAGTTGTAGTATTTTTATTGGTATAGCGAATTATAATATTAATTAGTTTAAAAAAGAATTAACCTCATTGAAATTATAGAAAAATCTTACTTTCTAATCTGTTCTGTTTTTTTTAACCAAGTAACAAAATCAACCATTGATTGACTTAATAATAAACTGTCCTGGTGAAATAATGAAAAACTGTGACTAATTATTTTTACAAGATCCTCATTTTCTAAACAACTTTCACACCAAATTTCTGTCAATCGATTACGAAGTGCTGGAGATAACTACAAATTATAGGAAATTTAAGTAAAATATCATTCCAATAACCATTATTTTTTTTATATAACATACTTCTTTTTTTCCATAATCACCACCAGGATTCATGGTACCAAAAAAACAAAAATCTGTGTGAGCTAAGATTTCTGAATTAATATCAATATCATTTTTTTCTGTTACCAAAAGTTTTCTTTCAGGTTCTAAAAATAATAAATTTTGAAATGTATGATTGTTTTTCACTTATAAGTATTTTACACTGTTAAAAGATAACTTACCCAATAATGAATTAAGCCTTTCTAGAACACTATCATCAGCCAATGAGATTTCATCAGCTAAAAATAAATGCCCTTCAGTTATTGCTTCAATTAATGGTCCGTCAACCCATTCAAAAAGCCTTTGATCATTTTCTTGATCTCTATTACGAATTGGTCTCAGCCCACCAAGAAAATCTGAACTTTCAGTATGTTGATGACAGTTAACGGATAATAATTTCTTAGTTTTAATAGCAGCAATCATTTGACATACTGTAGTCTTACCACAACCTGTTTCACCAACTAATAAAACGGGCTCCCTGAATTCAATTGCTTTACCTAAAGATGTTTAATTAAACTTATTATTTAATATTTGTTATATATAATTTAATATTATTAAATTAATTTATACTGACATGCAAGTACAACCATCCTTCTAATGTTTTTAGACATATAAATATGTTCAAATCCAGGAGGTGGTTTCTGTATTTGTTCAAGTATATGACGGGTAACCAATGATGTGTTTTCATTAACTATGAAAATTTTTAAAAATGTTACAATTTATAAAGATTTAATAATAAAAAAAATCTCACATGTAAATAATCTATCTAAAGAAAGTGAACATTTAAAATGTTTTTCTAATATTTGGATTATAATTTTTTCTTCTTCTGGTTTACGGACTTTGGATGCTAAAACTAGAAAACCTAAGAAAAATAAAAAATTTTAATTTGTATTTCAAAAAAAATTTGTATTTTGATTGACCTAACCTTCATCAATCAAGTGCTGATTCCAATTATAGTTATCTGATCCGTTTGATAAACGATACCGTTCGCCCCAACGAAACAGATCTCTTAATGTTATTAAACCATGTTTACCGGAAAATGCAGAACTTATTTTACGTGTTGATTGAAGCTCTTTCATAACTGATATTAATTTTTTTGCATATGACAGAGGAATTTCACACCGCTTAAATAATATGGTTTCCAATTCATCTGCTGGAATCTCATCAAAATGCATCTCAATAAATCTGTTTTTAAATGCTCTTGACAATATCTATGAATACAAATAAAAAGGAAACTATTAAATAATTAATTTTTAATAACTTAGAAAAACTTATAAAAATATTATATTGAAACCAATAAAAAAAAAAAAAAATTGATTATTATTAAACTTTACACAGATTTATAGTAAAATCAATACTCACTTTACGTCCTCCATATAAACCTGGTGGATTTTGAGTAGCAAATAATCTAAATCCAGGATGAGCTTTTACAATAGTCTGAGTTTCTGGTATAAATAATTCTCGATTATCATCTAAAACACGATTTAAGGATTCTAACACATCAGTTGGAGCTAAATTAAGTTCATCTAATATAATCCAATGACCCTTTCTCATTGCCTCAACCAAAACACCTATAATAATTAAAATTAAATGAAAACATTTACAACCACAGGGTTTCTAATAATAAAATGTTATCATTAGATATATATTATTAAAAAAACAATAATTATAACACACCTTCTTTAAAAACAAGTTTGCCTGTAATTGATTGAGCCAAATATGAACCAATATATTCTTGTGTATCTGTATGAGCATGGTTATTAATACGTACTAATTTATTTCCAGAAGCTGAAGCTAAGTATGTAATGAGACTTGTTTTTCCTACACAAGTATCTCCTTGAATCAATACTGGGAATTTACTTAAGGATACAACTCTTACAAGATCCCTTAAATTCAGTTTTACACTATTTGTTAAAATATACTGTAAAATAAATATATTTTAGATAATTCAGTCCATATTAAAAATTAAACTAATCACTTTTTGAAAAGGGGAAGGTTCCAAGTCTCCTTTTTGTATCCAATAACCTTCAATTTGAATATAAGATTTTGGTTTTGTAATAGGTCTTGGAATGGGCTGGTTAATAACTGCTTGAATTAATGTTTCTCTGAACATAGTACTTGCTATTAACTGTTCAACACGTTTATGAGAAAAAGAATTTAACTGAGTTAGAAAACTAAGGCAGAATGATTCATATAATGATTTTTGAGTAGATTGGCATGGATTCGATGATGCTATTGATAATGCACGGCAAAAAGTCCGTAAGCTGTAATGGGGTTTGTGACCAGTTCCATCAGTTAAACTTGTTTCAGCTTCACGTTTTGCAATTAAATAAAATTTTGAAATATCATTTAATTTTATAAATGAATAATCAGGTAAGTAGCAAGCTGTTAAAGTAATTAAATCTGATCGATCTCTTATTTCATCAACAAAAAATTCTGTAAATCTAAAATACAAAATTGTATCCATTGTTAATTAATATTTAACACGATCAACTTTTTTTTAAGATATTACCTGTTTCTTATACCCGAAGGTAAATCTTTTTTACCAATATCAGTTGCTGGATTCATGGCGGCCATTAATCTAAAGTTTGGATGTCTGGTTATAGGTTTGAAATCAGTTTTTTCATATATAGTTACAGTTCCCTCAGATTCGAGTAAATTTGATAGACATTGTAATGTTTCAGATGAGGCTAGATTTATTTCATCTAACAAAATCCAATAACCTAAACAAACACTCAATAAACATGTTTTAATAAGGTTCTTATTTCCTATATAAAATAATTACCATTTTTAACAGCTTGAATAAGACTCCCTTCCACAAATGCAAAAGCCATTGATGTTTGACAATGTTTTAGTTTAATTTCAAAACTATTTAACTCTTCATTTAACTCTAACCAATAATTGATAGGTTTGTTATTTTTCGTATTTTTATCAACAGCACGTTGTATCACAAATTTAATTAATTTAATCAGATTGGACCATGAATGGTTATTAAAACAAGTCTAGAACAACAATTATAATAACATGCATAATTCGAAAACATTTAAAAAGTTTAATTTACCGATATATGGCTCAAAAATGTGACATTTTGTTCTACATCAAATTCTGCTCTAAAAAGCCTTTCAAATTTGTCTCTGATTGGTTTAATAATAATCTTTAGTTCAACTGGTTTATAACCTCCTATAAGATCTACACTATCACTATGTTGGTTCATATTTAAAACAATTAATTTATTTCCTGTATGTTTGGCTAATAACTGAAGTGCTGATGTTTTTCCTGTACCAGTTTCTCCAACAAGCAATACAGATTCTTGCATAAAAATAGAACAAGCCATACGTTCTAGAAGACATGAAGAAGACCGTGTCAGAGCAAATTTGGAATTTGACCTAAAAAATAAATTTAAATTAAAGTATAATAGATACTATATTAACTACATAGTCCACAATGCAAACAAAATATACAAAACAAACATTTGTTGAGTAAAAAAGTGTTAAATATAGTATAATATTATTCCGAAAATTTTTTATAAACAAATTTGCTTGTTTCGCCTATATCTATAATTACCTATCTAAGTAACTAGTAGTTAATTAGTAGTTACTTTTCTGCAATAGGAATTATATTATATGATGCTTCCCTGAGGTGGATTATCACTTGTAAAATAGGTCTGAAAAGCCCACATGTGTGAGAACTTAAAAGAGTGCTAATATAGGTGTATTAATGTTCTAGGTGGGAAGTTAAGCTACATAAAATTATTTAATTTATCAATGATAAAGACATGAGAATTTGAAGGAAATTATTGATGTTTTGAAATACCATAATATTCACAATGAAAAAAAATTTGAACGTAAAATTATTATAAAAAAAAAAGATGATTGCTGAAGTGCAATATATTTAATTAAATATGAAAATCAGTACTAAGGGCACATTAAATTATTTTTACAGAAAAATTATACATAATTAATAATCAGTATATGATATACATAATTAATAATCAGTATATGATATTTATGCGTTCATAAAAATGAATGAAACTTAAAAAAGTTACATTTTTTTTTCAAAATTATTTATATTATACAGTTTTTATCAACTATCTAAAAGTTTGAAATAATAAATGACATTCTACAATCATCGATTCAAATAATAAATTATATAATTTTAAGAAAATTGAATACTTACGTATCATTTACTGTTAAAAAAGATCCATTGCGTGGTAGTGTAACTCTTCCAATGATGCAACATTTTTCATCAAGAACTATTGTTGGCTTATACTCAATCAAAAAGAATTCCGCTTTAGTTTTTACAACGCCAACTAATGAAGCAATATGACAAGCAAGTTCTAGTCTCATTTCTAAAAAAAATACAATTTTTATTTAGAAAATTGAAAAAAGAGCAAATATACATAATGGCAGTTGTTAATATTTATTTATCTTAGATGGAATTAATAGTATAAAATAAGTATACAACAATGATGGAAATTTTACCCCATATCCATAAATTCTGAAATATTAATTTTCCCACATAATCATGTTATTTTTTTTGTTATTCAGTACTAATATTTGGTTTTTATATATCATATGTATGTATTTACACATATTTTGAAAATTGTATAAAATTAAGTTTATTTTTTTTTAGAAATTAAGGTGTGAAAATACAAATTTTATTTATCTCTTAATAGATGTTCTCCTAAAAGAAAACTAGATCGTATTGAATATTATTAGCTATAGGAATTCTATTGAACATAATGGAACACCCTGAGTGTATATATATTTGTACTAATTTAGGAATATTATATAAAAATATTTAACATTCAAATTGATATGAAAGAGTGTACAATTATGAAATGTTACATTTAATTTAACTATTTGATGAATATATGTACTCACTTGAATTATCTGCACTACAACAAAAAATATCAATTGCATCTTGAATTACTCTTAAAGCAGATTCGTTAGAAGTGACTTCATAATCTTTAATAATCCTTGAACACCATTTTAATAAATCTCTTGTAGAAGTTAATCTAGCATTACTTTTTAAATTTAATACTACATCATTATTGTGCAATCCAGCAGAAAATAACAAAAAGACATCAATAATTTTTGGGCTTATTGTTTTTAATACAGGAAACTAAAATTTGTTTTTTTTTTTTTTTATATTAAATATAACAAAACAAATAATGTATGATTAAAATTGATTGTACCTTAATTTCAATAACTTCAATTAGCTCATTTTTGTTTAATGGTTCAATGTTTATTTGAATATAATGTTTTTCTAATAAATCAGTTGCAGTGTTCTGTTTATGATAATAGCCACTAGTAGTAGTAATTACCCTTTGAGTAAAAAACAGTTGAAATCCTGTAGCAGGGATAATTCTATCTCTATATCCAGGCACTGTAAGTGACCGACTTTCAATTAGAGTTCCGAGTACAGCTGCTAAGTCATTAGAAGCTGAGTCAACATCTTCTAGTAACAGCCAAAGTCCTTCAGTTACAGCCTAAAAAAAATGGAAATGGTATCATTTTCATAGGTTAAAAAAAGAAAATACAAGTATTATTTATTTATTTCAATTTATTTATCCATAAAATTAGTTAAAAAAACAACACACTTTTGTAAGAACTCCAGGTTGCCATATAAATTCTCCAGGAATATCAGTACAATGATAAGATCCCAACATCATTTTAGAATCAGTTTCATTTCCAAGTTGTACTGTTAATAGATTTTCATCAGTGTGTCCTATATATATATCAAGAATATAGTTTAGTATATAGTATTTATTAAATTTTAAATTTAAAAACAATAAAAACAATCTAATACAAATTGTACATAATTATTATTAAATTAACTTGAATATATTTTACTTAAATTTGAATACAGTAAATTAAGTAAAATGCTTATTAATAAATTAATTCGAGTATTATTACCTGTAATATTGGCTAAATAGTGTACCAAAGAACTCTTTCCACTTCCAACTGGACCTACCAAACAAACAGCTTTACCAGCAGAGACTGCTATAGACAGTTTCCTTAAATTTTGTTTTGTAGAATTTACAAGTATAAGATCATTTTGCTATAATATACATATTAAAATTAAATTAAAACTTTTCTAATTTAGTTTCTATTCTAATAATTAATACAATATAAATATACCCGTTTTTGTGGTCCAATAGAAGGTAAAAATACTTCTTCAACTGATATAAATTTGTTTGTTATATATGATTTTAGATAATCTTTAGACTTAAAATTGCATGACTTTAAGTTATATGCAAGCATATGTTCTATATTTGTCTTAGGTTCCATATAACAATATATAAGATTATTTTTATCAGATTCAGTCAGTTGAAATATTATTCCCATACATTGACAAGCCAACCTTGATAATTATTATGTTAAAAGATTAAATAATTTATTTGAATTGAATATTGTATGATTCAATATGTTATCTATTTATTAAAGTCATTATTACCTACTGAATCATAATTTACAGAAAAACTAATTTAATATTTATCATTGTATACAGTTTAGTAAAGATTAATCCAGATAGTAGTTTTACATTGATTTTATTGTAAAAGGGTGGACAAAAGTACATTTTTTATTTTATAAAAACACATGTGTTATTAGTATTTTAAAACACAATTTTTTCCTGATTAAAAAAACAGATGAGAATAACCTAATTTTAATCAGTGCTGTAAAAATCATAGGTGAAGGTGATGCACAGCCCTGGGATTCAACAGGTTAGATCTAAGGCCCAAAGCCATCAATTTTTTCATTTGCACATTAAATTGATTCATATTAATTTTATTATCTTGTATTTTATTTCATATTATAATGGTTTGATTTGACTTAAAATGTCAATATTGTGTAAATTACTCAGCCAAGATTGACATAATATTGATTATTATATGAGATACCAATGTACACACTTAGTGTACTCAGCTCCCATCCAAGCATAATATTTACCAACAAAAGACAATAAGTATTAATGCTATTAAGCTAATAACTGTTAATTGCCTCTTTTACTGTAAAATATATGTAACATACATATTACATATTATTAATAAATATATACACTATTATTTATAATATAACATATAAATATATATACCGAGTGATCCATTTAAATGGGTACTCAATTTAAATTTTTCCAGAATTTGTTTTCTACAGCATTTAAGAAATAAGCTGCTCTACAGTTTTATATTTATGTTATTTTTGGAGGTAAAACCACTATCTACATTTTATTTCAAGTGGCAAACTATATTAAATATTCCATAAATGGGGTATTATTTAAAATAAATTTAAGTGTTAAAATTGTTTATTTCTGTAAAACCATTGAGGAGATAATCCACTTTTAAGTTTGGGTTGGAGGAGAATGGTGGTGCATTATTAACACACTGTGCTCTGTATCACCACATAAATGATATTCCACTACTCTCCTCCAAATCAAACTTAAAAGTGGAATATCTCCTCAATGGCTTAACAAAAATAAAAAATTTCAATACTCAAATTTATTTTAATTAATACTCCATAATTCATAATTTTATTTTATAATTCAATAATTTATATATTTTCTAATATTTTATTCATACTTTAACAAAGAAAATAAACAAGCCAAAATTATTGCAGATAAACCAACTAAATCTTTTACAATAGAAATGAAATAGACTAGTACTAATAGTAAGTTTAATTAATAATTTTTAATTATTATAATAAAATAGGTACCTACCTAATTAAAAAATTGATTTTGTTAAAATTCAAGTAAATTAAATAATTTATTGTTTACAAATTATGTACTTAAGAACAGCAAATTAAACTACTAATTAAGAACAGCCTAGTGGTATTGAAATCCTGTTTTTTCCTTCACTCAACAAACTTATTTAACTTAGGATACTTTTAAACCAACTAACTAATCAAGAATGATAACTTGACCTAGCTTATACATGACCCTGAGCCAGTCTTAATGATGGAGGACTAGCTGGACCTTTGAGGGTGCTGGTTTTATGGTTGACCCTTGCCTCCACCTCCCTTATCCTCTCATTCTACTCCTTACAATAAAGTATGTCCTCTATCATGCAATCATGCAGTAGAGGGCTGGATGCCGCTAGAGAAAGCAGCCACCATTTGATCATGTTTACCATGGTCCAATGTGTATTCATGTTTACACAATGACTATTATCATGATACTGTTTATCATGGGAATTTTTCTAAACCTACAATTAGACACTATCACCCAAGTTTTGTGGAATCGTGTTAAAATTATATAATTATAAAATTAAAAAAGGAACCTCAACAATATTATTGAAAACCAACTGATAGAAAAATGGTGGCAGTCCATAAATCTATAAAACAATTAATTTGAGGCATTTTTTTATATTAGGAACACTTACATTGCATAACATAAAATTTAAATTTAAAATTGGTTGTATTTTAATTGTTTTTTGATTATTAATATCATACATTTTATGAATTTTGTTAATTATTATATAATAAATTAATTTTAAAAATAATGAGGTGGATCATAAGGTAATAGTAGATAACATATTAAACCAATAACTAAATATACATAAAAATCTTACCAAACAACATATGTATCATTATGGTTTAAATAGATACTGGCAAACTCAGCCCAATTCCAAAGGTTTCTAAAATGTTCAGCTGCATGATTTAACAGTAAAAAAACTTCTTCGGCTATTTCTAAATCTTTATTATCAACCAATTTTCTCTTTTTTACTCCAGATGGTGAATTCTCAATCCAAGGTGGTGGATGTTGAGCATAATAGTCTAATATTATGCTAAAAATTACATGCTCACATAAATATATATATATACTGTATAGGTACTACTAATATTTTTGATGTCAAAAGAAATAAATACATTCAAAGGAAGACCACATTTAATAGGAATAAAACAAAAATGTATTTAAAGTGTTTCAATAATACCCTCTAAAAGAATTTAAAATAAAAATTATTGCACTAATTTGAAGATAATAACACTGGAAGAACACTTGTATTCACAAAGAATTTTTTTTATAATTTCATTATTCAATTTTATGAAAAAAATTAAATTTGTTTAACAATTTATAATTTACAGAACAAATCTAGTTTATGACCCAAACTCATTTTTCAAATTTTTTAATTTCCTAAACATATGATTTTGTATGCTTAATTCATTGGTACAATCAAAACTTATTTTTGAAATTATTATACATAAACCTTGAAAATAGCATTTTGGTTTCACCTAAAGATCTGGCAGGGTTACTAGGGTTTGAATGTTTGTAACTCTAAATCTAGATTTATCTATATGGTTTAGATCTATCTAAATCAGATACACTTATTCTGACTTCAATAAAAAAAACTTTGTTATCAAGATATCAACAACTACAAATCATAATAATGATAAAAACAACCACATTATGGATTAATTCCAAAAATGCTATGTTTCAAAGTTTAGATACAATAACTATAAAAGTAACTATAATAGGTAAGTTCTAATTATACCAATGAATTAAGCATTAAAAATTTGAAAAAAAAAAAATTGAAAATGTTTAATTCTCACTAAAAAATACGGGAAACAGAAAAACCCAAGCTTCATAAAGTTTTCTCCCATAACTTACAAACAAAGTTCATCAGACTTTTTTTTTTAATTCTTTAAGTATAAGCAAAACCACATATTTTGAAAAAAAAATTTAAAAAATGAGCTTGGGTTGTAAACTGGTTATACCAAATTTAATGGTGTAAATAGATTGTCTGCTTATTAGATTACCTATTAATGTTTTAATATCCGATTTTCTTTTTTTATTGTAACATTAAATAGAATATTATTCGTGGGGCATCCTGTGTATATACAGGTTAATTTTTAAGTATAATTAAAGACGATATTTTTAATATTTAATTTTTCACAGCATTTAAGGAGTATTTTGTGAAGAAACCAACTTTGGTTTTTCAAATGAAAACTTACATGTTTTAATGCAAATTTTCAAACAGATAATTATTACTTAAGACCAGGTTTATATGCGCTTATAATTGTTAAATATACATGCAAACATGCGTTAAAAAACTGTTATGGCTGGGTGATGCAAAAACAATGTCATAATGTACTGATTTTTGTTGTAATGAGGAGTGTTCTCACTTTGGACAGACTATAGTTATTTTTAAAAACTTAATCTAAAATTAAAATAAAATTTAGTATTTTCAAATTAATATAGGTATTGAATAAACCAGTAGTGTGCAACATGGAGAAATTTTAACAGCGAGCCATCAATATTTTTACACCAAATCATTGATTATAGAATCTATTCTATAACGTTTGAATTTTTCAGGGAAATCATTATTAAAGAAATGATGAAAGTTTGAAGTATTGCCATTAAAGGTGCACCTAGAGATCAAGTGGGGTCACTCAATCCCTGAGTTTGCTCAGACTTTTTTAAATAAAAATACCCCTCGATTTGTTGGCCAATACTTCATCGAGTTAGTAACAGGAAAAAAAATTGATTTTTGTGAGCGTTGGGGCAAAATCAAAATTTTTAAATTTGATTAGACGAATGTTTACATACAAAAAAAGAAACAACGCTAGTCAAATATAAATAAATGAATATGAAACTAGATATTTAAGCAAAAACCATAAATAACTACTTCATAATAACAAACTTTAAACCTTCATAACTTCTTTAATACTGATTTCCGCAGAAAAAAAATTCAAACAGTTCTAATATCGGCATTGAAAAGTGTATTTAAAAAAAAAATGAGTTAAAAGATATATGGTTAACTTAACTTATAAAATTATTTTTGAAAGCTAGTACAATTACCTAGTAGAACTTAAATGTTTAAAACTACAAATATCAACATTGACTAACCATCTATTCCAATTATCACACGTTGGAAAACTTATTATCTGATACTATTTATTATAATAAAAATGTAGGTATAATAAAATTCATAACTCGCTGAAGAGGACACTGGATTAATTTATAAATCAGGAAACATAGTAAATGAAATACTCCAAAGAAATTAAGAAACTTAACATATGACTATCAACCTAACCTACTCAAATGCAAGTAGCAAGTATGTTCTATCCGAATAAAAATTTAAAAATTGTTATAAACAAATGTACAAGCAAAATCAGTAAAATACCTATTTAATTAAATGCAACTTTAAACAAAACTATTGGATAAGTAGGTATATCAAAATCAAAATATAATTGAGCAATGTTGAATGAAAGTGTTATAATCCCAAGGGACTTTCTTTAAATAACATTCCACTTAAACAATAAATGTAACAGCACATTGAAATAGCTTGAATTAACTTACCTTAACTCGTTCACAGCTAATACATCGGGTTTCTCGTTGTCCATCATAAATCAGTTTTCAACGTTTAATCAAAAATATACAATAAATAATATTATTTATTAAAATAAAATATTTTTAATTATTTTATTGATTTTTTTTTCAAATTAATAACGTGTTCACAGTAATACAGTACAATATCAAAATGTGTAACACACGTTGGGTTACGGTTAGAAGTTATAGTCGAAATCGATAGCGAAGGGAATAATTATTTTTTGTTAGGTTAAATTTATTAGGTTAGGTCACACTGCTACTTGTACCATTAAACAATCCATCGACCTAGCCGTTATTGGAGTACTTTGGTTTATAGTACAGTTGTCACAATCAACTCTGCGTCTCTATCGAGTGAGCCCTGTCATTCCGTTTACCGTCTTCGAGGAAGGTACATGCGATTTTGCGAATATTTTTTTTTACTTTGTTCTTTGTTTGTAAGATCATTACTTTGGTAGTTAATATCAAATCACTTTCACTGGACGTATACTCACTGACGCTTTAATTACGATGCCTATTAACAGTTTAATACCAGAACCGAAGTATGTATACGTTTGTATAATATATCTAGATATAACAATTTAATTTACCTTGCGGTACACAATAGTACCTACCTACCTAACATAACATACTAAGAATATTCCAAATTGAATGATACATGTTTATATTTAAGAGTTTTAGTTAAGCAACCTATTGTTTTTTTTTCACAATGTACTTATGTACAATAAGCAGGGCCGTACCAAAGGGGGTGCGAGAGGTACTCACGCACGGAACGCTATAACCACATGGGCTCTAATGCAAATATTTAAAGTAGTCGGATATATTTACTATAAAATTATGAGTGAACGCCCTTCACAGTTTAAGCTTTTTTTTTGTTTTCTCATGGGTACATTTTTCCGGCACCAAGTGTCGATTTTGATAGGCACAGCAATGACAATAAGAATATTAAATAATGTTGGTACGACCTTTGTTTTGATAAACTTCTATAACTCGCATTTTTTAAAAAAATATTTCGTCTAATAGCGATTGTTAAAAAGTAAATTTTTTTGTGATCGTTTCTTTTTCACCTTCCTAGAAGTAGTAGCACATGCTATATATATTATTTTCTATAGTATTGTGTAACGAACAAATACAAAGATATCATTCAAAGCTGCTGAATGATGGGGTTGAACAAAATTGTAAAATTACTGATATTTTGACATACCAAAATTGTATGAATTTTTAATGATATTATTATAATAAGAACTCGTATAAGATTTATGTTGGGACTTAAAAACTCTATACAAAATAAAAGTTTAAAATATTATTTAATCAAGTTGAAAAATGAATATCATTATATTTTATAGGTACTTATTTATCCCATAATCTATTTTCCAAAGTTTAAAGAAAAACCAATTTTTCTGACTCGCAATAGTTAACTTTAATTGGTTATCACTTATCAGCAGGGTTGGAATGCATAATTCAGTAAAGTATAAAACGTACAGTATTAAACTATAAGTTGTATACAATTTTTTTTTGGCTGCGATTGAACAAATTATCAGGTAAAATAGTTGTCAATTAAATTTAATCATCATTTTATGTATTTTTACCTAAGATATATATGATAATTTGTTATATTAATTATAAGTTCATCTTTAGTCTTTATTAATATTTATAATACCAAAAAATAATTTATTTTGTTTTTATTTTATTCTAAATTTAAGAAAATTCAAAGTTGATGTGATTTGTTAATTTGTCAAAATTTAAAATGTACAGTATTATTGCTGTTATAACAAACTTCAAAGAAAAAAAATAATAATAATGTAGTCGTTATAAAGTTTTATACATAGATTATTGAAGGTATAATCTTTTTACTGTTAATAACTTAACCGTTTATTTGGTATTCATGGTCATGGTTTTCAATTCTCCCAATATTTATCATAGCATCGTGTTCTTATCGTATACTTTATTTCTTTTAGTCGGCATAGAAACATAACCACCAATATTTTTAAATCTAGATTGTGTTCCAATAGCCTTTCTTGTTTCTTCATCTATTAAATCAAGGGTTAAACTTTGCTCGTATTAAGGGCTAAAAAATAAAAAAAAAAAAAAATTGTTTTTGCTGGTCACTATTAGAATGTACTTTATTTTATAAAACAATAGATTATAATCGTATCACATTTTATTTATTTATTTTACTGTTTGGTACCTACATTAATTTAAGGAGGTATCTACAAACAAAGTTATTACAATGATACAAATTAAAAGCTAATGTGATTTTTAAGTTTAAATAATGTTAAATGGTTGTAGGTTTGATTTTAGGATGAACCCAAATTTTACGTTTTTTTTTTTACTTTTTATTTTTAAATAAAACCACATTACTATCACATTATCATCTGAACTATCTGATTCCATTTTCGGATAATGATGGTGATAAACTGTCAAAAATAATACAAGTACAATTTTAAATTGATGCGACTTTAATCGCGTGAATCACATCACGCTAGTGGGAAAGCGGCCTAAGTTATATTTCTTTTTGTACAATTTTTCTTGATGTTAAACGAAATATAAATAACGTGTATAATGATTTTACACATAATACTATTTTTATTCAATAATTGTAAGAAATACTAGATTTTTCAACCATAGTGTACAATATTTTTTATAATAATTATAAATTTTATCATAGGCTGTGGGTCGCCAACCTCTATATTAAACTAACAATAATTAACACAGTGACAGGACATTGAAAACTAAGTTTTTTAAACCTTGGATCCAAAATTGTAAACATTTGTAATTTTTTATCCAAACATTGTTATCAGCATAAACTAAATTCTAGTTATCAGTAATCTATATTTGTGTTTTAAAATTGCCAGCTATTGAGGTAGATGACTTGGGTAATTTAAAGGATTACCTAAACATCATGAATTATAGATTTACAAATATTTATTTCATACCACTTTTTTATTTTCAATTGTCAATAATTCAACCACTCCGGTTTATGTCCGCTGGCATTTCTATTGAAATAAATTCATATTAATACAATAATTTGTTTTAAGTACCTACTTCATAGTTTATATTATGAAATACAATATTATTAGACCTAGTTTACTGGACTCTCAATAAATGTGGGTAGGTATCGTGTTCTTTCACTTAATAAATACACAATTAAGTTTTTAATTAACTTACAAAAGTTCTGTAAAATCTATTTAAAATATCCTATTACATACAGTACCTATTAAAAAGCTTCAAGATAAATATTAATTTATAATATTGTTTGGAGGAATTTGTATAATTGATAATGGAAATTAGAGATGTTCCGGGTAAATTATTTATGCACAAATTACATTCCGAGTAATAATTTACTTAAATATCAATTAAAACCAAATTTCAAAATAAATGATCAAATAATGATTTACATAGAAACCAGGTACCTAGTATTAGCCGAGTAATATTATATAAGAATAATGAAAATAAATGAATATCTGCTAAAAGCTAGTGGCTAAGTCACCTAGCACAAGCCATTTACTAATTAATCACTAAATAAAAAATAAAATATTAATATTAAATAACAAACAATATACTTATTAATATAATTAATTTTCAATTTCTACCACGTGATAATACAAAATAAAATCTTTTTTCATTTAGTTGATTATGGACACACATTTTTTTCTCACTACATTATCGCATGGAAAATGAGCTTTTACACAGTGAGTCAGGTACCAGGAAAAAATGTTTTATTACCTCAAGTAGGTTAACATGTAATGTCCGGTACCCAGTTAGGGTTCGATGACCAGGTATCTGGAACATCTGTAATAAGAACTAATCTGAAAGAATTAGCAACATGGCTGGCCACTTTTACTTTAGGCTGTAGTGATTTCTAACAGAAATCATTTTATATTGTATTTATTATTTTAAAAATATAATATGTGTATCCTATTTCATTTTTATATTTATATTAAAATATATTTTGCTTAAAATTTTAGGATGAAAGAATCTGTTTTTGAGAGAGAAGATGTTGAAGAGGAGCCTATTGTTTTATTGGATGAACCAGAAGAAGAATATTCGGTGGAAAAAATCCTAGATAAACGTGTGAAAGAAGGTAAAGTCGAATACTATTTGAAGTGGAGAGGTTATAGTGATGATGATAATACTTGGGAACCTGTGGAAAATCTCGATTGTGAAGAACTTATTGTAGAGTTTGAGAACAAGTTGATCCGCAATGAAAAAGAAAAAACCATGCTAAATGAACAACAAGAACGTGATCAACAAGAAAGTGAACAACAAGCACGTGATCAACAAGAACGTGACCAACAAGAACGCGACCAACAAGAACGCGACCAACAAGAACGCGACCAACAAGAACGCGACCAACAAGAACGTGATCAGAAAGAACGTGATCAGAAAGAACGTGATCAGAAAGAACGTGATCAGAAAGAACGTGATCAGAAAGAACGTGATCAGAAAGAACGTGATCAGA